CAAAAGAATAAAATCACCGGTGATTTATATATATATATTAGTTAGTTAGTTATGGATCATCCTCTTGAATCTCAGGTTAAAATTAATGTATGTTTTAGTCCGGTTTAAAATGTTTAAACTTAATTCTTTAGGTTGATGTGTGGAGTTGGCAGTGCAACTGAGACGCTGGTGTAGGCTTGGTTGGAATAAGTAAGACTTTGTACTGATGTTGTTTTCGGTTACGTACATTCAAAAGTTTAAGTTAATACTTAGTATGAGTTGTTACTAAATCAAGCTTAAGTTAAATTCAAGAGATTGCATACTTTTGAGAAGATGTGGTTCCTTTTGTAAGGGTGTACTATTGTGATGGCGTCTCTATCTATCTTTTAGTAAATATTCTACTGATAACTAGAAGATCATCTATTGACAGGACTAACGTTTCATCAACTGTCAGCAAATTTTCTGTCGATCAAAATCCTATATAGGTTGGAGCTAAATTGTGCTATGCTTCTAGATTAGTTGGCCTTTCCTTGTCCTCGTCCTATTCGAGTTGAGGCCCAAAGATACGGTGTCTCATGAGGGTGACGATTTGTATTTAATTTTACCCCTAACAACTTACGTTTAATTATATTATTTATATACTTGTAAATGTTACAATTTCTAAATGATAAACTTACCTAGTATGATACTCAGTGAATGACACAAATTTAGAGGAGGAGTTAAATTACCAAGAGAAAAAAAAAATCAAAATTTCTACTAACTTTAGAAATCTGGAAGATAAATTAAAATCTTTAATCTCTTAGGTGGCCTAGTTAATCCCCTGACCTACTTTAAATTTTTTTACCACCGAAAAGAGTGTAATTGAAAAATGTTAAAACGTGAAAGAGTAATTAAACTAATAAGAATTAAATTGAAAAACAAAACACCCAAACATTAAAGACTAAAAACATCAATCTAACCTTGAAATTAATTATATGGATTCATCTTGCCTATTTCAATGTCATTGTTTATAATTAAATTAAGCTCAATCTCGAAATATTATCACATAATTTTCTTGACCTTATCACATCTCAAGTAATCATAGTATAACAAATTTTCTTAGATGTGGTAGGTTCAACTTTTCACCGTATTTTTTACCGTTGTAATATTTAGGAAAAAAAAACCTACTAATATTTAAGCAAATATTTAAATATTTTACGGTATTTTTAAAATCCTAATTTAACCTATAATATTGATGTTAGATCGTTCAAAATTATAAAATATCGACATGTTGATAAATATTTTATTATTGTCATCGAGTCAACATCACAACCTAAACCAGGTCGACTTAGATGATAATAGCACATCTTTACCTCACAATAATCACTTTGATTTTGAACTCGACCTAGTGGAGAATTGGATTTGATCATGCACCATTCAACTTCAAATCTAGCACAAGGGTTGAATTTGAAAATGACTGAAATTTGGATGCTTATTTAAGAAATCTAGGCTGGAGATAAAGAGCTCTTTGACGTCTAAGATGGCTCGCGGGGAATTGAGTTAGAGGAGAGATTTGAGTACTCGGTCACTCATATGTGACTTCCAACTTGATGTCATGAAAACTTATATTAAAGAAGAAAAAATTTAAATCCAAGTAAAAAAGACAATAATAATAATAAATATATAAATAGTTCAAATACTATTTTTCTTCACGTACTTTTAACTTTGTTTCGTTTTAGTCTATATATTTCAAAATGTTCGATTTGGTTGGTGTACTTTTAGAAAGTTAATATTTTGATCTCTATTTACAAAATCTTAGTATAAATTTTACACGCAAGGAAACTTTTCAATATAAATTAATGGCTATTATTTAACGAATAAAGTGTCGTGTTAAATTTTTTATCGAAATAAATGAAAATGATCATTTTTAAATAGTATAACGATCAAAATATATAAAAACTAAAATGAACTACTTCAATCAAAATTGAAACTATATGGGCATAAATTGGATTTACACAAAAAAAAAAAATTAAAACAATTGAGGGGATGTCAAAAGTGTTGTATATTCTTATTCATTTATTGATAAGAAAGAAATATTAAATTATGGTTTAAATTTATGCATTTTTATATCTCARTGTCAATTTCGTGTCGTACTTATCAATGTTTCAAATTGATGATCTGTAATATACTTTCAATATTGGTCTTTTGTATTAAATGTGACAGGAATGATATGACACTAATGTAATTAATTAATTTTTAACTCTCGTTAAGAACCCTCCACTTGGATTCAAGAATTTCAAAGATTTGGTCAAAATCAAAAGAGTTGTTTAGGAAAGATTCTTGTAATTGTTTGTTTTTTACATCAAATAATAGGAAAGTGATTCATCAAAATATAATTTATTAGTATATTTCTGATAAAACCAATCTTTTTATGAATGATTGTCTGCCTACTTTCTCATCAATTATTTTATAATAAGATCTTACTTAATATAAGTGGAATTAAAGTTTATTCACATTTTATTGTCTTGTTTAGTTTTATTTTAATCTCAAGTTTACGAATATCTTCAAATCGTGAAATTATTTATCAAGAATTTTTTTTTTTAAATATAAGTATTTGTGTGGCTTTGTTAATTGAAAAGAGTGGTAGGCTTTCATTTCAATAAACTAATTAAATATGGGCTGATTCGTTAATTAATTATCAAATGCTAATTAAAAGAAAACATATCATGTGTTAGGGATGATTATTTGTCTCTGTCCCATTGAAAATAAGCAAAATTAGAGAACATTTGTGACCCTATAAGTATTAGTTAAGGAAAAAAAAAGTGTGTCGACAAAAATAGCAAAAGATTAATATGAATTTTATAAAAATAGCAAAATTGAAAAGATAAATAACCGGATAAGATTTATAATAGACATAACTATTCCCCTCATTTTTAATTGGTTTTGAGATGGAACCCACGAATATTAATATGGTATCACAATCCAAAAGCCCAAATGAGTAACCGATAAAAAAAATGGATCCGGCCAAGATCGATGAGCCAAAAAGAGCTACCATTTTGAACATTTTAAGGATCTCACGTTGAAAAAAAGACCGAGACTACTTTCATTGTCAATTAAAAAAAAAAAATTCCATAACCCCATCCTCAAAGATGCTTTCATTCATGATTGGAAAGGAATATTTGGATAAAGAACTGTTAATATTCTACTTCAAATCCTTTCATTGTTTTTGCCCATTTCCACACTCCTTTTAGATTCCCTTTTGGTTCGTTATTTCATATCAATTTGTCTCGTAATGACATAAAATTTTGAGATTAAAATTAACAATGAATGTTATCAAATGGGCAGTAGTAATTTTTGTTTGGACTGCATAAAAACGATACTTAAAAATTCCTAAAAGTAAGGAATCATTAATTTAACCTGAAAATAAAACATATATTAAGATAATTTAAAACCATATAGAATGGAGAGACTTGTATGGAGGAATACAATTTCAAATGTCTAAACATCCTTTTAATTGGATAGTTGATTGCAAAGATTAAATTATTGCAAACAAATAAAAATATAAAATAGAGAAATTTGGATTATGATTTAACCTATTTAATTTTATTCGTAGAAATAAATATCAAAATAAATTACTATCAACATTATGATAATGTTATGATGATGCTTTATTTGGAAAAAGTATGGCACTATATTAATATTACTTAATTAAATATTAATATTTGTTGTTATGATTTGAATGTGAAAACACGGTGCTAAAGAATATTAAATAATAATGATCAAAGAATTAGAAAGACCATTTTAATTAATACCATACATGATTGGATTAAAAAAAATATGAAGCAAATCTCAAGCAAAGATTGAATTTGAAAAGATAATAGAGGAA